GGCGCCCCCATGGGGGGCACGGGGGGGGTGCCCTGCGGGTAATGGGGGCACGGGGGGGGCTGGGACCCTCCCAGTGACCCCTGACCCGTCCCTGCCATGGGGCAGGTCAGGACGGGCAGCGCTGCCATCACTGGAGCCACCCGTGCAAGGAGAGCCACCCCCGTGCACACCCGTGCAAGGAGGGCTGGTGCCTTCGCATGTATCCGTGCAAGGAGAGCAGCTCCCCCCTTGCACACCCATGCAAAGAGAGCAGCTCCCTCCCTTGCACACCGACGCACACCCATGCAAAGAGACCAACTCTCGCCCTTGCGCACCGGTGCACACCCGTGCAAGGAGAGCAACTCTCCCCCTTGCACACCCATGCAAAGAGAGCAGCACCCTCCCTTGCACACCCACACGCACGCATGCAAAGAGAGCAGCTCTCCCCTTTGCACACCTGTACAAAGAGAGCAGCTTCCGCCCTTGCACACCCATGCACAGAGAGCAACTCTCCCCCTTGTGCACCCGTGCAAGGAGAACAGCACTTCCTTTTGCATATCCGTGCAAGAACAGCACTCCCCCTTGCACACCCACGTGAGGACACGCACACCCCCACGCCACCACACCGTGCCACGCTTAACCCCCCCCCCGTGCCAGACCACGGCCACCTTTCCGCACCCACCTGCGACCCCACGTGCCACCACGGCAGCACCCGGCACCCAAATCCACCCCCCGAGCCGGCGCGGAGCAGCCGGGGAACCCACACCCCGGTGGGGAGACGCCGCGACCCCGCGGCGCAGCCAGGACCACAGCGGGCGCGGATCTGGCCGGGCAGAGCCAAGCGGCTCAGGGTCCCGGTGCTAAAAATCACCAGTGGGTGTCATCACCCCCCCGGCGTGGGGACGGCCGATCTCCTCCCCCATGGATGGGACACCCCAAAACTTTTTTGGGGAGAGGGAAAGCCCTGCTTGTGGGTGCCAGGCCCCCGGGGCAGGATCCGGCCCAGAGCACTGCGGTTGTGACCGGCACGGGAATGATGGCGGGGGGCACATCCCGGGTGCCCCCCCCAGCCCCGCGCGAAGGGAGACCCTTGGGTGGGGACACGCAGCCGAAACGTCCCAACCCTCGGGGACGCGTGGGGACAGGACCGGTTCCAGGCGGGATGCCATCGGGTTTGGGAGGGTGACAAGGGGGATGGGGGGGGCGGGACCCCCCCAGCACTCACCTGGGGCGGGGAGGGCAGCGTGGAGCTGGGCGCGGGACAGGAGCTCCAGCGAGGGCTCGCAGCCAGACCCCCCCTCTGCAGAGAAACACCCGTCCCCCTTGTAAACGGGCTGCGG